AATTAATAATTTAGAGTATAATTACCATGAAATTTATAGTATTAATGGTTACTTTCTAAATATTAGTATTATACTTTCTAGTGTTACAATAAATTCCTTAAAACTAATATTTATAATTATGGGTTTACGGCAATAGTACGACCTTCTACATTCATCAATTCAGTTTATATTTTTTTAAGTAATTAAAATATATACTTATGTTATTAACAAAAAAATTATTATAATTTAAGAATTGATCCTTAATAATAAACTTAAATTAAAAACATGAATCAATAAAATAGCAGTGTAGCATTTAAAACTCAATTTTTTGTTTCTAATATAAATATATAGAGTGATTTTTTTATCATAACCCACTCAATTACTTACAGAATAATAATAATTTAAACATTTTTTTTTTCGATTATCTTTAGTTACACATCATTCTTGAATTATTAATTATGTAACACTTTTTAAGTTCATCCCTTATACTTTGTAAAGGTGTCAAAAGGTTTAAATGGAAACGCATTATTTAATTTAATAAAATGTTTGAGTTTTTAATTTAATAGTAAATAGTATTTGAATTTTTAATATACCTTTATTTGTTTATTAGATATAAACATTTAAAGTTTTAAATTTTTGAGTTAATATACATGTATAATACACAAGGGTTTACAAATACAGGTAGCTAATTGGTTTTTTATGACATCGATATTAGCAGGTACACAGCATTGTTATTATCAATGGTAGTAAGGTACATTGTTGTGAGTTTATAAATACACAAACTGATAATACAGAAAGTATATCTATTGATAGTCATAATTGATAATAAAGAATCCGTGACTATGACAGCAATGTCATAAAAATCCAATTAGCTACCTGTATTTATAATCCCTTATATATTGTACATATATAGTATAAGGGATGAACTTAAAAAGTGTTACATAATTACAAATTCAAGAATGATGTGTAACTAAAGATAATCGAAAAAAAAAATGTTTAATTTATTATTATTCTGTAAGTAATTGAGTGGGTAATGATAAAAAAATCACTCTGTATACAATGTATTTTATGGTTGCATTTTTCAAGTGAATTTTATTAAATAATGTGATTTTTGTTTATATTACTCAATTATCTCAAAAAAGGTCTCGCTGCATTAAATGAGATCGTAAACAAATATTATGTATCATTGATGCGCTGTAAGTTGCATTGAAATAATTTGGAAACTATTAGATAATAGTTCTATTTAAAACAATTTTTAATATTTAACTAAAAATTTTTGTTTGTAAATTTCAATCATTTTTTTCAACTAATTTATGTTTTGTATAACAACATAATTAATTGTAATAATATTTATTATAATAAATATATTTTTATTAATAAAAATATATATTAAATATTTTTTTTATGTTCATAAGTTAATAAGGAAATCTCACTCAAACATGAAGGAGCCTTAGCTCCCTATTTCCGATTATAGCTACTTCTACGAATAATTGATTTGTTTAATGAATTTATTTAATTAAAACGATTTTAATTCAAAATTATATTTTAGGTAAATATGTTTGTCTAAAAGGCAAGTGTAAGGGTCAAACCTTTCTTTTGTTATTTATGACCGTCCGTTCGATCGACCGTTCGACCCACCGTTCGCTAACGGATGGTTTCTATTATCCGTTGTGACGAACGTTTTTTAATGTTTTGAACGGTCGTCCGTTCGATGTTTCATACGTTCCGAACGTGTTCACGAACAACGTTCGCCATATAAACCTATATAAAATAAAATCTGAACGTATACATTCGTGAACGGACGATTGAAAAATAGACCCCCTGGTGTAAAGTCCAATAAATGCCTAGCGTCGAATACCCACCGCAATAACACGTCCAGTTAGTCATCTCCGTGACACCATTACCGCCGATTGGTATCTTTTTCCGTCAGCTCAACAGCACCGAATACGCAGCTACGAACGTTTACCTTTCCGCATATATAAATTATTGTTATATTTTACATTTTCTGTGTTTTCTGTCTTCGAAGGCAATATTAAGTTTTGTTTGAAACACCAATAAACGGCACGACGTTTTATTTTGAACCCTAAAGTGTTGTGTTTTTATTTTACTCTACCTTCACGCGAGTACGGTATACTACCAACCGCAACAATACACATATATATATACAGGGTGGTTTTAGTGAATAAGGATCGTTTTAAAAACTTAAATTTTCTAAAATTATACAATCAAAATTAGTTCCAATACTTATAAAAATGAGGTACGCAATGTTTCAGGCAAATCAGAAAAAATTAACTCGTGCCACGAAAGGCCTAAAGATTGAAAACTCAAAAATTTTGGATAACCGTACATTTTTCAACGTTTTTTAGTTCAGCGCGTGAAATTCTTCCACGTAAAAATTATAACAACTAAAAAAATAACAATACAATACTGCTTAATCTACCTGACAAAGTTTTATTAAGATCATTCTCCAATTAATGGTAAAATAATAATAATAAGTAAGATAATAAACTTTAGAACATTACCCCAAAAATCTACTCCCAACAATAATATTTTCTTACAATAAATTTGATTCTTTCAATGTGTTATAAAAAAAATTAAAATATTAAACAGCGTTATATGCAAACTTAAAATGATAAAACTTGTTAAATTTTTTTATTGGCGATTTATATTTGAATATTTGAATTATGTACAGAAAACAATTAAGTCAAAAGACAAAAATAGTGCGGGAGCTAAATTGCATTTTTTCCATCAATTTTAATAATTTTCAAGCAGAATATTTTTGTATAATTTTTCGACAAATTCGGCGTGGTATCACGCTAAATGTTTTGAAAATTAAATTAAATTAATTTATAAAAATATATACTTGATATAATAATTAAATTTTCTTATCGAGTTACAAAGAATATGTTCGATTCGATTTTTAAATTTTAAGTTCAATTTTTGAATTAAACCAAATGTCACATGTTTGGACCAGTTTGGTTCAAAAATCGAACATCACTTGAAATTTTAGTAATATTAATGTTTTTTGGTGTGGCCACAGGAGGCTAAAAGAAATTTTGGCAACAATGTTGTATTACTATATATTTATAACAATATTTTAATTTATTTTATTATTACGTACCATAGTAAATGTCAAGGTTTTTTGTGAAAATATTATTCCTTAAGTTAGATTTTAGTTATAACTTCAGAAGCTCAATGTGAAATTATTATTATTATTTTATTATTAGATCGAGAATAATGTTGTGTTATTATTTTTTGAGTTTTTATAATTTCTAGTTATAGTCAAGCAGGTTGCGCTATATAGAAGAATTTTAATCTGTGTATAAAGAAATGGCTTAAATGCATTTTACCACCCCATCGAGTTTTTTTATTTTTTTTTTTTTAATTGATTCAGTTTTTTATACTGACTAAGAATATATAAAAATTTTTTGTCGGCAAAGTCCAGTTTAAAAGTTATGAGCTTTCAAAGTTTTCAACCATCATTGACAAATTTTGTTATATACTTCTGTTCTTTTTGTTTTTTTGCATTAATTCATTAGAAAAAGTATTCTCGATGATTTAGTAAGAGAATTTTATTTATTTAATTATACTAAAAAAAATATTTATATGTGTGTAGGTATTTAAATAAAAAAATTTACAATGCGCCGCTCAAACTGTTGCTGAAATGGTATTGCTGATACTTTTTATACATACAGTATCAGTTTCAATTCTAACTATTTATAAAATTTTTTGCATTATTTAAATTATGATAATGCGTTTTTATATTTGACAGTTGGTAATAAAGATCATGATGCACTGTTTCTATAACATTGAAAAATAAATATAAAACTATAAATCTATAGTCTAATCTTAGTAGTTTACCAATAGATTACAGCTTAATTCTTTTTCTATTTAAGTTATTTTTTCTCACTATGAACCGATGGATGTATGATGGAAATTTGTACAAATGTCATTGTGGTTTAAGTGTAAATATTCGGGATAAACCTAATAGTTATTTAGAATCGAGTAACACGCAATTTGTCGTATGTCGTAAAGATTATACTGATCCAACGCGATGTCGATACTTTAAATACATGGCTGAAGATTATCACAACTGTAATTGTCATACCCAAGCATCATTATGCATTACTAGTTCAGGAAGTAATAAGGACAGACCGTATTTTAAATGGTATCAAGATGAATACTGAAATTTCAATATCTAATGTAATAGTAATTATTTTTTGTTTTCAACAAGTGTTAATTGATATAAATAATATACAGCATAAACTTTTATTTTATTGAATTAACAATTTTAACAAACAGTTTTTTTTTTTTTTTGCTCAACTTGAATTAATTGAGTTTCTTGTTATTACCTAATCACTTATATAAAATTTTATGAAAACCCCATTTTTATTTCGTATTGCATAATTTTGATGGGCATAGTTTTGAAAAAAAAAATTTGGAAAATCCTTATTTTTAAAGTTAATTTTGGTTTTAGGATTTTTAGAATGAGGATATTATGTAATAATTACGTCATTATAGTTTCACAATAGTATCATGAGAAAAAATCCCAAAAATTAACAAAAATAAACAATTTTTAGTTCTTGACGTTTCAACTTTAAAAAGCTATAACTTTTGAACCAATTTTTTCCAACAATTTTGAAAAAAGCATTGAAAAACACACGTTTAAAAAAAAAAAAATTGAAAAAACTCGATGGGGTGGTAAAATGCATTTGTTCCAAAGAAATTGTAGAGAAGCTATTGTATTTATTGACATTTTATTATATATTTATAACAATATTTCAAAAAAATGTATAATGGCAAAATGAAAATTAAGCTTCATTATTTTTGCTAATAATGCATTCATTCTTTGATTAGCGATTGCGTCACTTTTATTTAAGTGCGTGATTTAAAAATTTAAAATTAGGTCAGAATAATAACTTATTTTATCATAATTTATATAGTTTATGTTACTTTATTTGTTTACATTATACAAATATTGTTATATAGATATAAAATTCATCATTTCATTTTTATATAAAAGTCACGTATTTTAAAAAAAATAATTGTAAAAAGAATTTCATATCGAACATAAAAAATGCATTTAGAATATTCATATTTTATTTTATGTATCGTCAACGCCATTGGTTTGATAAATGCGAATGATCCTAATGTTACATTCTTACAGACAATATGCGATCAACCAATATGGAGAGATTTAAAGACACTTTTATGTATTAATGAAAATGGTAATAAAGTCACCATAGAAGAAATAGCCAATGTTAATTCAGTCACTAGCGAGACATTAAGTCATAAAGCAAAACAGATGCATTTACTACTAAGCTGCAATAGTGCATATTTTTTTGTGCAGTATTCAAATTTGGCGCACTGCTTTAAAGATAAATGTATAGAACTCGGCGTCAAAGAAAGCGTAGAGCTATGTAAAAATGATTTGAAGAAGGAATTGGAGAAAATTACAGAAGTAATAATAAATTGGAAGTCGCAATTAATAAATTTATCGGATATGAGTAACGTAAAAACAAATAAGGAAATTAATTCAGTATCAGATATTCTGATAAACCTAGGTACACAAACTTTAAGTGACCGAGATATTGATGAATATTTTATAAATATACACTCAACTTCAAAAAAATTCATAGAAGCAAACTGCTATCAAGCAGAAATGAAATTTAAAACCTTTATGGATGCTTACCAAGAACAGATTAATAAGGGTTTGGATTCATTTCATTTAACCGGTGCACTAAGAGAGTTGATGAGACTTTTAAGAGAATATTTAGTGACTTTTTATTTTCATTTAAAACTTGAACCCACACCAAAATTACGAGATGCGTATCCTAATGAACTCATAGATGAAAGGTATGAAAGAATGTTACATCCTAGAGAGTTAAAAATGCCACCAGAATAAATTTTATTTTCTGTTTTATCTTTATTTCTTATAAAATTGGGTAAGTGTAAGCTAGTTAAATGCATTAAAATATAAATAAAATATATATAAAAAAAAATTAAATAGATATATAGTTTTTTTAATTATATTACGGATAATTAACGCCTTTAACATTGGATACGGTTTTTAAGAAATTATTGTTATTAAAATTTACATTCTATTTTAATGTTGTAATCATATAATATTTGTTTTATGTTATTGTGTAGTTCACGAGTGTCTTAGCACGTACTTTTTAACAGTTATTATTGTAATGTTTGTTTTTTTGAATATGTTATCAATATTATAAATATACAAGATCACCAAAATAGGGTTCTCTTCTTTAACACACAAAATAACTATTTAACTTTCAAACAGAATCATTTTATTATACAAATTTAAGAGGAACCCCTAAACGCCTATCACGATTAGCCAATTAGAATGAAATTTTCAGTTTTCAAGATTAGGCTAGGGATCGTTCAAGGAGAGCCCTTGAATTATAAAAAGCCACATTTTTTTTTTATAAAACCAGTTCTTCAGGTTATTTCAAAAGTTAAAAAAAAAAAATGCACTCTGAGACTTAGTTATTTATTAAATTTAAAAAACAATTAGTTTTTTTTTATTCGTTTAGGACTTTTTAAATTTAAATAATACTTAGAAGAATTAAAGTGAATTTTGTTTTGGTGATTTTTTTAATATAAGTTTTTTTGTGTATTAAATAATAATATTTTATCACGGAATAAATTTCAATTATTAAATTAAACACTGATTTTTTTAATAATTTTATTTTAACATGAAACCTAATCCAACTTTAAATATTTAATCAATGGTAAAATTTTATTATGTGTTTTTTTACTGATTAGCTAGATATATGTTAGCTTAGGATGGCTCTTATTTTTCAAAGTTTTTTTTTGCCCGGATGATCCTTGATTTGTTCTATAGATTAAAAAAATACATTTTGTGAAGTTTCGTGATTGTCCAATGATTTTTTCTCGTCCACCAGAAGGGTTGAAATTTAATAAATAGGGTTAAAAATTAGTTTTTTGTATAAGTTGTTAAAGTTTACTCGAATAAAAAAAAATTCAAAGAATAAAATTTGTTTAAAAATGTATTTTCTATAAAATATATTATATTATTTTTTACTCTATATTGCATATTTAATTGAATACTAAATAAAACACAAAATACACCGATTTTTCTCGATTCTAATATTTTGCGTAATTCAGTCTTTATTAGCGTAATCGACAAATTTTTACAATATCTATATAAATTATAAAATTTAGATATGAAAATTATGTACAAAATGTGTTTTGTAAAATATTTTCTAAATCTAAATCTTGGTCTTATAACATACAACTGATTAAAACATATAATATAAGTTTCAATAGAATTATTTGTAGAAAACCAGTATTTTAAATAAAATCTTACTAAAAATATACAAACATTACGAATACCAACCCGTTCGTCTTTTGTTAGCTCGAAAGACTCTCGAAAAATTTTTAAACAATAAATGGCTTTTTCCATCCATCTGGCGTGATGATAAGCTCCAGGAGATCTAATATTGTATAATGATCACCGCCAAGAAAAATAATTGCTAAATTAAGAAGTTCTCTATAGTCTTCTCTTGGTAGATTTATTTTTATTTTTTCCATTAGAAACAAAATTAATTCATTTTCTAAGCCGTTTAATTGTGTTTTAACGGTTGTATCTTCAAACCTGGATTTATTCTACAGTCTTTAATCTGTGGCCAACTTTTTGAAATTTTTTAAACAATGGTATAATTGGTTCACTAGATCAAGCAATTTTTTGATCAAATACACTTCTTTAAACTATTTCAAATATGTGGTGCCTACATGATAAGTATAAAAGGTCCCTTTNATTTCAAATATGTGGTGCCTACATGATATGTATAAAAGGTCCCTTTCGAGGTATTGCTCTAAAATAATACAAGCACCTTATAATCTCCCATATTAGAGGCTGTTGTGTCGCAACAAATAGCCTGAACTTTATTTTCAATATCCCATTCTACTAATAATTCATGAATTGCTGAAGCTTGTTCTCTTCCTGTACTTGATTTAATAAAAGAAACGCCAAGAAGATGCTCATTACCATTGACACTTATAAGTACAGGTAGCCTATCAATTTTTACATTACTAGTTAGTGATGGCAATAATTTGCCATCGAAATGAACAGTAACTAATCTAATATTAGCTTCGATGCGAAGCTCAGAAGGTATTGGTTTTACTATGTTTTTTTTTTTTTGTGTCTGTTACCATTTTTTCTCAGCTCTCACCGNTTTTTTTTTGTGTCTGTTACCACTTTTTCTCAGCTCTCACCGATCGGATTTCTTTCAACGATACGTCAAAAGATCACAAATCGTATCTAGTCGAAGACATTACCCTTCAAAGTTTAAAAGANTATCTAGTCGAAGACATTACCCTTCAAAATTGAAAAAATTTCCCTCGTTTCCCGTAAATGGGGGAAACCTCCAAAAAAATTACAAATTTAAAAATCGCTAATTTTCGAAATTTTTTCAATTTTTTAAACTAAACAATGCCGTAACTTTTTCAAAAATGAACATATCAATATAATTTTTTTTTATATAGATGCTTGATGTCTTTACCTATCATTTGGTATATTTTTTTTGTAAATCTGACACTTAACCTGCCCACAGGGGGGGATTTAAAATGACAACTTTTTCACAAAAAATTTACTTTTTCAACATAACTTTTGAAAATGTTCCGGAAAGTCTGACACTTTTATATATATCTTAAATTAAAGCTAATGTAAAATAATTTAATTTGAAAAAAAAAAATTTGACCTCTGGACTTGTCTTCATGGTGAAAACGGCTACCGAATGCTATTTTTGTGTGAAAATTTTTGATTTTATAATTTACATTTTTTACTTTAAAGTGCTATAACTTTTTAAAAAATGTATGGATCAATACAATTTTTT